TTACCAGTTTGTCATTTTCTAGGGCTGTGCCTGATTATATTATGTTATCCAGGGTGACATAGTTGTTCTAGTTAGTTGTTCCTTCTTGAATGCCAAGACAAAGGCAGCCTGAGGGTCATAAACAATATAATGCACTAGTACCAAAGAGCCAGAGGCTCAGCCACATAGGCAGCGATTTGCCATCCCCAATAAACTGAAGAGGTAGGATCCTGCAACAAACTCAAAGTCAGAAGCCAGCTACACCTAGAAGACATCTCTGAAAAGTATTCATTTCCTAACAAGCTCTCCAAACTAGCAATAAAGCCACAGTACCATAAGCACTTTATGAGCATCAAAGAAGAAACTTCTTTGAAACTTGGGGGAAAAAAACAAAGAAAATGAGAAGACACAGAAGCAAAATGTAATCCCAGACTTTCAGTTTGCCCATGGCAAACCCAGGGGGAGTGAAGTGGAACAAATCAAAAGCCACACCTTAACTCTGTAAAGCATGTTAGTACCGGTGGAACTAACAAAGAAAAAAAAAAATGAGGCTGTAGAAAAAAATCAAATTACAAATAATTTCTCGGGTAACTAAAGAGATGATGACCATAATGAAGGACATAATTAGTGAATCTAGAGTAGACGCAGATTAAAAAAAAAAATAGAGGATCTTAGGAAAATGATGAAAACCATAAATGCCCAACATAGGAAAGAAATGGAATCCATGAAAGAGATTCAAGCCAGTATCCAGCAGACTAAAAATTCTATTGAAAGTATATGGAACAGAATCACCCTACACGAGGGTAGAACATCAGCTGTAGAGGCAGGTTTATGATTAGCAATCATGAAAAGAAAAATTTCTTAAAAACAGCAAGGCACCATAAAGAATCAATCCAACAGCTACCCCAGGATGCAAAGAGGAAGAACGTAAGAATGATCAGAGTCACCAAAGCTGGATAAAAAGTTAACACTCAAAACTCAAGCATTCCTGCACACAAATATCAAACTCACTGAGAGAGAAATTAGGGAAATCACACCTTTAACAACTGCATCCAAATATGAAATATTTAAGAATCAGGATATCAGAAAATTAAAACATACAACTTGTTCTAGAGTAAGAAGAACCAATATAATGAAAATGACCATGTTTCCTAAATTATACAGATTATACGGATTTAATGTAACCCAGATGAACATACTAATAGTGTACTTAAGAGAATTAAGAGAAAACAAACCTAAAATTTATTTGGAACCAGAAGAGAGCCAGAAAAGCAAAAGCAATTCTGGGCAACAAATGCAAGTGAGGGATATCACCTTCCCTGACTTGAAACTATAGTACAATGCTACCATGATAAAAATAGCACGGTACTGGCAAAATAATAGACCTGAGGCTCAACAGAACAGATTAAAAGTGGGAGAAACAACTCCCAACACACTCAACCACATTATCTTTGACAATGGCACCAGACACTTCACGCAAGGAAAGGCAGCTTCTGTAACAATTGGTGCCCGAAAAACTGACTTGCAACATGATGAAGGTTAAACCCAGACCCGTATTTCCCCAAGCACTCACTACAGCACAACTGAAATGGATCAAAGATTAAACATTAAAGCAGAAACACTAAGTCTACTAGAAGATAGAACAGGTAAAACTCCTGAAGACATAAGTGTAGGCGAGGACTTCATGAACAAAACACTGATTGCACAGGAACATAATACAAAGATAAACAACTGGCATCTCATCTTATTTAAAAAGCTTTTCACAGCAAAAGAAACAACCAACAGCGTGAAGAGACAACCCACAGAATGGGGGAAAAATGGCAGCTATTTCTCAAGGGACTAGTAACTAGAATACATAAAGACCTCAAAAAGTCTGAGCCCCTGAATTTAAAGAACTAATTCAAAACAGGGTACCTGAAATGATTAGACACTTCTCGGACAAGAACAAACACCAAATAAATACATGAAAAAATGTTCAACATCACTGTTCATTAAGAGATGCAAATTAAAACAACACCGAGATTTCACCTCACCCCCAAAAAAATGGCTATTATCAAGACATCAACCAATAACAAATGCTGGCAGGGCTGGGAGGAAAAAGAAACCCTTCTCCACTGTTAGTGGGAGTGTAAACTGTACAACCACTGTGGAAATCAGTGTGGAATTCCTCAAAAAACTAAAACAAAAGGTTCCATTTGATCCAGCTATTCCCTTTCTTGGTACCTTCCTGAAAGAATTGAAAGCAGCATAACAGAGCGATATATGTGCACACATTATTTATACCAACACAAATTTTAATAGATAAATCTTAGAAACAACCCAAATGCTTATCAATGGGTGAACAGATAAAGAAGATGTGGGGTTTTTTTTAAAAAGTATATATAATGGATGTCTTGGTTACTTTTTTTGCATTGCTGAAATGAAACGCCCAAGCTCAAAGGTAAGGGAGAAAAGGTTTATTTAGCTTATGGTCTGTGCAGACATTTGTCTGTGATCCACTCGCTCTGTGGCAGGGTGGCACACGGCAGAGGGACTACAGTTCTTGGCAGTAGAAGACAGCAAAGGTAACATGACCCAAAGGGGCGAAGAGGAAGCACAAGCCTCTTTCCCACTTGTATACTGTATGCAGGCTACCAGTCCAGGGGCAGGCATAGGTAGCACTCACACTGCCAATCCCAAAACTAGACAATGAACCAATCACAAACCCTAGATGTGCCACCTACAAAAAGCTCACCCCCTATGACTATGAGGCTTTGCGGGACATCCAGATGCAAACCATCACAATGGAGTACTACTCTGCCCTAAAGAAGCATAAGTTTGAGACATTTCTAGGTAAATGGATGGACCCTGAGACCATACTCTTAAGTGAAATAAGCTGGACACACATTTAAACACTGCATTGTTTCTCAGGTGTGAGAAACCAAAAGTGTAACTAAGGTACTGTGAATTAGGAAGAAAATATTCAAATGGGAAGGTGAACAAGGGAGACAGGATGAGCAAAGGAGGGACAGGAAGCCAAAAGAAAGGAAAAGAGAACAGAAGGAGAAAATGGTAACAAAGCTTTTGTAAATAAGTCGGGGAGAGGGGCTGAAGAGAGGGTAAGGAAAGCGGGAAAAAAGAATCAAGAAGGGCCAGGGACACAGCTGAGCTGCATAAGTGCCTGCCTGGCAAGCACAAGGTCCTGAGTTCAATACCTAGTACAAAAAAAAAAAAAAAAGAAAGAAAAAGAAAAAGAAAAGAAAGTAAGAAATCAAGATATATCGTGTATAGGTAAAAATTACATGATAAATGTTTTATAGATAGATAGATAGTACCAATATAATTCTTACAAAGAAAATAAAAATAATTTTGGACTAAAAAAGTAAAATATACTGGTAAAATTAATTTTTCAAAAATATTTAAAATATCCCTAAAGATACAAAGAGAAAAAAACAAACAATAAACACTGGCCAAGATGGTGGATCACAATTTTACACTGCTGGTAGAAATACAACACGTAATTAGCACAGCCAACATGGCCATCAGCAAGGAGGATTCTCAGAAACGAAGTCTTGAGCGGCACCTGATGCAGTTGTGCCATTCCTTGGATTACACCCCGAGGACTCAGTAAGGGTACTGTACAGACGCCCGCACACTTGTGTTTACTGTGGCCCGGGTCACAACAGCCAAGATGTGGAACCAGTCTTGGGGCCCACGGACAGATGAAGGGTGGAGAAAATGTGTACATGAATGTGCGCTTATACACAATGCAGGATTATTCAGCCATGAAGAAGAATAACATGTTGTCACATGCCAGAAAATAAATGGAACCAGAGATTATCATGTTAGATGAAATAGGCCAAACCCAGGAAGACAAATGTCACATGTTCTCCCCAGGGCCTGGAATCTACTAACGATAACATGAAAGTGAAAGGGAGGTCAGTATTAGATGACAGAAAGAGCGTAAGGGGAAGAGCAAAAGCAAGGCGAATAGGATGATGGCTGTGATAAAAATGTATGCGCCAAGGGGGGCCTGCCCCTTAGCTCAGTTCTTTAAGTGGCTGCTTCAACAAAGCTGTCAGGCTCAGGTTGCTGTGGTTTGATCCCCACAACTAAAGCCAGCCAAACCTGCCCTGAAAGCATTCAGAGAAAAAAAAAAAAATGTATGCGCCAAAACCCAGCATCTTATAAAACTTAATAGGCACCAAGGAAAAATGCTTCAGGTTGAGGAACAATTTAGATTCTAGAGTTTTAGATTAGGGATGTCCAACTGGTAAAATCTATAAAAATATTAGAAAATTTGAAAAGCCTGGGCTGGCAAGACGGCTAGGCAGACTAAGCGCCTGCTTAGGCAAGCACAGGGACCCAGGGTTCAGTGGCATCATATGCCACGCCAGCCCCGCCCCCCAGGGTGGGCTGAGCCAGCCAGAGTCAGCCAGATTGTAGGCATGTGCACACCTACAATCCCAGTGCCGGGGAAGCTGAACGCAGGAGGATCACCACATGTCTGAGCTACGTAGTGAGATCCTGCGACAACCAAACACATAAAAATAAAATAAAATAAAAGGGCTGACCATGTGGGTAACAGGCAGAACATTTATTTATTTATTTATTTATTTATTTATTTATTTATTTATTTAGTGTGTGTGTGTGTGTGTGTGTGTGTGCGAGCACGCCGCACGCACACACTTAGCAATGGGGATCCAATCCAGGGCCTCACACACGCTAGGCAAGTACTGTACCTCTGAGCCATAAACCTAGTCTTAGAAATCTTAGTTTTGAGCTTTCTCCCTTTTTCTGTACCTTCCTACATCATCTCCCAGCAGACTCCGAAGGAAATGGGGGAGGGGGAATGAAAAGGCTTCAGGAGAAAGGACGTGATGTATAAACTTCCTGCTCAGCGTGAACACTAGCAATGGGGTATCAGCCTCCCTGTGGACCCAGCCCCTCTGCCGGGAATGAAGAGGACAGGGCACAGCAGCCACGGTGGGAGAGGCAGCGCCACGCAGCTCGGACTCTGTAGCCGGCCTAGCTTCACTTACCTTTTCCCGTAGCCTAATGTTATCCCACACCTTGCTGCACACCATACACTCAAAGGCGTCAATGTAGTTGTCCTGGGTGATGTCTTGTACGCCCCACTTCCGTTCCCTGAGAGCTGCCAGAAGTTGCTGGTTAGAGATCTCACCCTTCAGCTTCCATTCTATGTAGGCCTCGTACAATCTGTCGTCATAGTCCAGTCGTTTAATGTAACTTGCCAGGTCTCTGGGATGAGCGAATTCTGATACAAGAATGGCACTTCTGTTACTTGGAAGCCAGTCTGTGATGCTGGGGGCCCCATAGTACACAGGGACTACTCCCAGTTTCAGCGGTCTCCAGAACTTCTCCGTGATGTAGTCATCACAAACTGCATTCTCAAAAGCCAGGATAAACTTATACTGGGCAATAATCCTATAAAAGCCATCGGCATCCATAGAACTTGGATTTTTCAGCTGCTGAGGAAGATCTTTGTTTCGTAAACACTCACCGTAGGAATCAACCTCGATGTAGGCCATCAGCTCACGAACATAGCTGTCCCTATCTGAGGGCGGGTCACAGTCTGACTGTACATACACCAGCGGAGCAAGTCTTTTCCTTAGGATGTTTTTGGACTTCAGAGGAACTAAGTATTTCAGTGACTTCAGGGCACCAACGCCCTCCAGGTACTGAGTGGTCAGTGGCAAGTGGGAATGCCTGCTGAATGTGGCTGTGTGGTTGAACAAGGTGATGACAGGCTCATGAAAGAGCTTGTAATTGTTTTTCGGAGACTCTTCATGGAAAAGGGCCCAGTCGTGATAGGCCTTCCGAGGCAAAGGTAAGCTATCTATGTTAAAGTCAGTACCTAGAAAGAGAAAATCAATTACTAGTTATGTCCAAAAGGATTTTGGTCTCTAAGATTATAGTACAGAGAAGTTCAAGGCTGTAAATACAAAGTATCACCACCCAGTGTGTTGGTGCACACCTGTAATCCCAGCACTCAGAAGGCTGAGGCAGGAGGATCACTGTGAGTTTGAGACCAGCTTGGGCTGCAAGGTAAGTTCAAGGCCAGCATGAACTCAAATTGAAACAACTATGAAAAAAAAGAAAGAAGAAGAAAGAAGAAAGAAGAAAGAAGGAGGAGGAGGAAGAGGAGGAGGAGGAGGAGGAGGAGGAGGAGGAGGAGGAAAAAATAAGCATGACAGTGTCACTGTAAGGTAGCTAGCAGCTGATCACTGGCTTCATCCTAACAGCTGCTCTGGAGGGTCACCAAGTAGAAAGCCGATCTTCCCCATTTCATAACAAGGGAATGGGAGCGGTATCTCCCAGATTCTGAAGGAGGATGTACTCCACTGCCTCTTGCAATTGGCTTTTCCAACTGGAGATGCTGTCTGCAAAAGGACAGAGAAAATAAAGAGATCCAGATAGAGTTCTTTAAAATGAAAATAGAGGAAGCTGAGAGAAAAAAAGCAACTGGGTTTGCAGATTGATTAACTGCGGTGGAGCGGGGGGCAAAATCATGCAGAAGTAGCCAGAAGAAACGTACAGGATGGATTTTTTTAATCCAAAATGATCGATTTCAACAAAGTGCAGTTAATCAATCTTGGTCCAAATGGTAGACAAGAGGCTTTTAAAGACAAAAGAGCTGATAATAGCACTATGTTACAGACCGCTGCAGGACGGACATGAATTAACAAGACATCAAGAAATAAAGAGGCAGAACACAATTATAATTAGAAGTGATTCTAGCTTCCACAGGATTAATTGGAAAACCCCTGAAACATGATAATGTACAGACAGAAGTGATGGATGTTGTAGGCCACTGTTTCCTGGCTGCGTGGGTGGAGAGTCACTCAGAAAGAACCTATTTCTATGACTGAGAAGGAAGAAGACATTATGACAATAGGTAACATGGAATTTCTGAATATTCTTGCATGATTTTGTGGATGGCAATCAATAAAAGGAAATAGCAAAAAAATCCCTCTCCCAGCATCCACCAAGGAAACACCACATAAGTACTCAGAGCAAAATAAAACATTTTCTGGTAGAGCTCATAAAAATTAATTATTTAATGTCAATGCACATAAATATAAACTCTTTGGTAGCAACAATAATGAGCAATCAGTTAATCAAAGAAGGCTTTTAAGCAATTAAAGGTCAAGTTATATCAGAGTACCCATACTACTGATCATAGAGAAATTGCTTTAAAAAAAAGTCACCACTATCTCCATAATACATTTTCCATAATCAGCAGTGAATAAGTAACACATAAAAATGGGCACATACATGTTTATTTGGCTTCTCCTATATGTGACCTTGAGTATCAAAATGAATCCTCAGTCATATCCTGAAATGGAATAGCATGTAGAGCTGGATGGTTGACAGAGGAAGCGAATCATTAAACTAGAAAAAATAACACTCAAGAGAGAATTTGAGAAGAAGGGCAGTTCATCACACTGAAGCAGGTGCTGCTCAGGAGGGTCTGGCTTGGTCAGCGGCCAGTGATGGGAACTGAAGCTCATAAAAAGGAGTTAGAACATAAAGTTTCACCTAGGATACAACAGAGAATCAAACCTGTTTACTTAGCAAACAAAGTGCTAGAGACACAGGAATCAGAGGCAGAGATGAAAATTGTAAGACGAGAGACTGAAGGGACAAATGCCCATGACACACACCTGTAATTCTAGCTACTAGAGGGGACACAGCAGGACTGCCAAGTCTGAGGCAAGCCTAGGCAACTTAGCAAGACCCTATCTCAAAACAAAACTCAAAAGGGTTAGGGATAAAGCTGCTTGCCTAAGGAGCCCTTGGTTCAATCCCTAGTACCGGAAAACAAAAAACCAAAGGAGGTCCAGAATTAACTAGGGGGACCACCACAGGGGTTTAATAGGGTGGCCCCAAAGTGAGTGGCTGGCAGCTACCTGCCAGGTAGCCCACGAGTGACTCGATCTGACTTGCTCTGCAGCAGGGGCCCAAGACACAGAACAGAGAAGCATTGGTTTATGGGTGCAAAGCCTGCTCTCATGCTTCTGAGAATGGAGGAGGGCAAGTTCCACCTCTGATGTGTATCTGTAAAGTGCAAACAAAACTAAAAAGTGGTCATGTTTACACTCTTTTATGGCCACTAGGGAGGGCCCTCAGGTTGTGTTGTAATACCAACGGAACTTGAGCATGGCGCCAGTTATAAGAAGCCTGTCATTCACAATAACTAAGAGATGTGTGTTTACAGGTTCATTATGCCCAGCCGAGATGGGGATCTCCCCTGCTACTGGC